TGTGTTTCAGTTTCATGCTCTAGTTCATCCAACAAAAGCGGAAATCGCTCGAAGGGAAACGGAAAAGTTTTACGAAAATTTAAAAGCAAATACAACTTCTTCGGTGGGAGCAAAATAACTTGTATATAAATTTTAGATATAAATATAGTGCACCTAAAATGTTTTCTAAGGTAGAAAACCTATTGGGCATAAGCAAGTTAATTTAAGCCTTTAGCTTAAAATAAAATTTACTTCTCACAATACTGAAATAGCATCAAAACGTGACTGATAAAATATTGAAAATGCTTTGACTCGTTTGAGAGCGAAAAAATATAATTCCTAAAGTCTAAATCATTTCAATCAATATAAACCAAAATAGTTTCGTTTTGTCAAAATGTTTGTATAGATTCATCAACCTCAACACTTTCGGTGTAAATTGCACAGCTATATTTTGTATCGCATTTACAAAGCAACCAATACAAAATGCCCAAACAAGCAACTTTTATTTTTAGTTTATGCAAAATAAAATTTTATAAAAAACGTACAGGGAGCCGTAAAAGGTGACAACTGAATTGTAAATTGCATATTTGGGGTGCGGTTAGCCAGAGTTATTAAAGCAAATGGTAAATGGCTTGTGCTGGCCGCCAAATGAACTGCCATTAAATTGCTGGCAGTAATTAAATATTTAAACATATTTAACTGGCTCGCTGTCAGCCAAAAGTCAAAGCCAAGCATTAGCATTTCGTTAACAATTCCAGCTCGAATTTGGGGCTTGGAGCATGAAAATATATTTCAAAACAGAAATCAACTTCAGTGGGCGTCTCAAAGTTGTGTCACGAAAATCAAGGCACGGGGATTGTAGTCAATCTAAGAGTTGTAACTTCAGCTCAAAAGCATATTGTGTGTGGGTCTCAAGTCCCAATTGAATGAATGAAAATATTTTTAGTTTCTTGGTAAATATTTTATTTTTCAGCTTTTACTTTCGTTCTTGGTTGTCACTTGACTAACCGGATTTTGCCTTGTCATCGGCTCAAGTTACAATGTTCTGCAGGACATTGCCTTTTGCTACACAAAACGATTTTGTTGTGCTTATCGCCTTGGTCCAGGCCAGCAAACAAATAGATGCGACTAGAAAAGCGTGTGGGAAAAATTGTTTTCCCATTCTCTGGTCATTTTTATGGATTTACAGGCACACGCTAGCTCTTCTCCTGCCCTTTTCCTGTATCATTGTTTGTCTGTGCTTAAGTAGCCGGAAGTAGATTTTCCCTCCAACCGGCAAATTAATTGAGTTGAAAACGCTTTTGTTGCAATTCCTTCACGCATGGTTGGGGTAAAATGAGATCCGTGTAAAAATAAATAAATAATCGTCATCGGCTTAACATTTATTGGTTATAAATTGAACAGCTCGAGCGTGAAATATATAAAGTGGATTATAGTTTTAATGGAGAAAAACTGATATGGCAAAAACAACAAAAGCCTTCACCATAGTTTGGTATATATTAAGGCCCAATTTAAGGGATAAATTGCACAGATAACAGAAGGAAATACAAGGAGGTTGGGTGGAAAATACTGGGAGAGATTATCTCAGGGCTTAACGGTGAATTGTTGCTGATGAGCTGCCGATGTTGATGTTGATAACTGGCAGAGAACAAAAGAGGTTGAGACAATAAAATAAAGTCGAGTATATTATAGTGACTAGTGCTCTAGTTTATAAAACATGTTGCGTAAGATACAAATCATAGTTATTATAGTCTATATACCATGGAGGCTTTCATTTTTTATAGTAAAAAAACAAAAGGTTTGAGTTCCATAAAAATTTGTGGTAATATGTATAAAGTAGAAAAATATTTTAACCATTTTCAAGGATTGTTTTCATACTCTTTGGTAATATTAATGGATTCACAGAGAAACGCAAGCTTTTCTCCTGCTCTTCCTATACAAAATACAAAAAATATATTTAGTGAATAACTATAATAACTTTAAACACAACAAAACTTTTTTATCCGTTAGTATTGCTGTTACCTACTAACACAGCTCGAAAACAGTTTGAGCTCATGTGACCAATATCCTTCGCAACTTCCCATTTACTTTCGGCAATCATTATACCTTTTCCTGGACTGAATCCACTGAAACGTATACCATTGGATGACGTCAAACCTTTTCAGAGCAAACAGATTACCGGGGAGCAATGCCCGATTGATGGCTACATGTGTAGACAACTGGGCAACCAGGCACACGCCTCCGCCTCCGCCTCTTTAGCCCACAACGCCATCTAACCCATGGCGGCCAAAAATAAATTAATCAAAGAGCGCGAAAGGACAACAGTTTAGTTTGTGGAAAGGAGGGAGGGATTTCAGCTTGGTTGTTTAGGAAATCGTAAATCCATTAAAAGCCTCATTTAGAACGCTTTTGACGCATTTAGAGGGGCGAAGTGAAGAAGCAGTCCGATTTTGGGATTATTTGTAGGCCCCAAATTGAATCATCCGAGGGGAAAACCCCCTGCCAGGACTTTTAATTGTGGACGGATCCGTAATTGATTGTGCCCTCTTATGACTGCTGGCTTTCCACTCAGTTTCCTCACAGACGGAAAACAGATTTTCCTGCCCCGGACTGCTGCCTTTGCATAATGGATTCGAGGCAAGAAAAGGACAAGAAAAAGGGCTGGAAAAAGCTGGCAAAGGGTTGAGGTTTATCGTGCCCTACGGGTTTTTGGTCTATGAGTATTTCAGCACAGACTAAGAATTCCCAACTAATTCCATTCATCGTTTCTCTCTCTAATTCATTCTACCGTTTCATGCCCTTTGGTTTGGGTAATTGATTTGCGAAATTACATATTTTGTATTCCAGATATTTGTTTGTACAAGTTTCAGCCAGAGTGATTGGTTAATTTAGTCAAAAAAGGTCTAATTGACAAGCCAATCGAGAAATTGGAAACAGGAAAAAAAGAAAATGAAGAAGTTAAGACGAATGAAATTAATATTTGATACTTACAACTGGCTTACAGGCAAATGTTAAGAGTTGCCTTTGGGATAAGTAAACTCATTTAAAGGTGTTAGGCGAAAATATTATTTTTGAGAATTAATTGATTCAGGTACATTATTAATTTATGCGAAATAAAAGGATTGGTCAGGTAAATAACTAATTGAACTTGTACTAAGCATACACAAATGAGTTTCTTGGAAAATCCAATTGTGAACTCTTAAATCTTTAAACATTTTTAAAAGTAGATACGAAAATTTCCAGATAAACAGCTTTTATGTTGTAAAGCTAAACTAATCTTGCAACAAAGACAAAGAGCTCTTTTATTTTAGAGCCCTTATAAAACGAGTGCAAATACCTTAAGTTTATAACATGCTTTTTATATATTTATATGGCCGGATCATTATCTATCCAATAAGCATTAATTCACGCTCTCACACGGCGCCATTATCATTAGCAAACACAGAGACCTATCTGGCTCATAAAGCACGGCAAACAGGGCCAAAACACACTCAGATACAGACACCATTTACAGATACTCTTACAGACAATCGTGATGTGGGCCAAATGCAATCCAGGCAAACAAGCTGCTAAATTTCGCACGCAGCTCTCAAAAGGCATTTAAGCACGGGGTAGGGACTTTGACTACACCAAAGATGCTGACAGCCATGATGATGCGGGGATGAAATGTCGGAAGACCAAGGAGAACTGATGACACACAGCCAGGGAAAAACGAGACCAATCAAGAAAAGAGAGAACGAAAAAAAACAGGGAAATCGCAATGGTAAAGTAGCTAAGAGATACACATGTATCCGCCAAATACTCAGACATTGAGGGAAGTGTGAATTATCCTGCCTCAAAGTATTTAATGCGCTTTACACATGGCAGCAGGAAAACAACGGGGAGATGGCTAAAAATAGGAGAGGAAAATCACAGACAAATACATTTGAAACACATACATAGATGATCATCACTCATCCAAAACAACACACAAAATAATTCGAGGGAAATCAGTCGGTTGATGGACTTAAGACCCCGAAAAAGCTGTTCCAACGAGCGAGTGGAAAATTAATTAAAAAACGAGAAAATGCAACAGGCTGACCCCCAGTTCAAATTATTAAACATTCGTTGGTTCTTGTTACGTTTTTCTTTTTCCAAAATATTTTTAAGCAGGCATTACAAATTACACAACTCGAAAAAGAACTGGTTTACCTTTCCTCCACCGAAGCCAAAGGAACGATCTACCTGACGTTGTTAACCATCTTTTGTGAGTTACTGGCAGGTAGAATGCGGGTTTGCCGGTGCCCTCTCCTTCTCTCTTTCTCTCTTCATTCCCGCCCTGCCAAGGACCTCCTGCTGTTTTCCCTGGTGGTTGGAAATTGTTTTCTCGGCGCAACAGGATATGCATTTTTTCTACCACTATGGTGCTCTACAAATTGAGTCTGGAGTTCAAATGAAGACATAAAAAAATCGTTGACCTACATGGGGCTCAAAACAAAAAAAACTATTAACTTTCAAGCATAAAACAAAATTCATTCTAAAAGGTTTGCATGAAAACTCATCGAGGATATATGTGCCGATTCGATATTTAAACACGATTTTAAAACAGGAACATTTAAAGGCAAAGGTATAATATTTTTATTATAGGAAAGAACTTGTTCCAAAAACCCCAAAAGGTCTTAAAATATCGAAGACCTTTCTTTTTGGAAACCCCGACGGTTAAGTGAATCTATGATAAATTACAAATATTTGCATGTTGCTACCATACAAGCTCAAAACGTTGAATTTTTTAAAAGAATGCAAACATAAAGATCTTAAATTATTTAAGCGCGGAACATTTTATATCAGTTATTTAGTTTTAAAAAACTTTTTTTAAAGACATTTAAAGCAATATTCACCGAAATGCCATCCTACGAAACACTTAACACCTTTTAAACATTTGCCGTCGCCAAAAAGCCCTTTAAATTGAATTTTAAAATACTTTTTTTTAAGTGTTGTTCAATCTACTGCCTCTTATTATATTAATTGATTTGGGAACTCACCTTTCCGCCGACTTTTAGTTCGTAGCCCATGCCCAGAGGCGTTTTCAGTTGCACGGGGCAGACGAATCCTATGTTGCGGTGCGGACTTTCCACGCCCGTCTGGTGTTTTCGGGTGGTGACCTTGGCCACACTCCTTGTGGGCGTGGCGGCCGTGGAGGCCGAGGAGGTGGTATTCTCGGCCACGCACAAATCCTCACCGCCATGAATGGGAAACTTGGAACACTCGAGATTTTCCGGCCAGTTGAAGTTGTAGGTTTTCATCAGCTTTTCACAAACCCTGGCCGATTCGCACAGTGATCGGCAGGGCGGAATGGGTCTTTCCAAAATTGTGCAGACCGGGACGTACAGTGAGCAGAGAAACAGCTGGAGATCATCGCTGCAGCCGATCTTTACGAGCGGAGCGAACTGGTGCACCTCCAGACCCGCTTCCTCCTGCTTTGTGTGACCAATAAGATTCGGCATAATGGTCATGTTGTAGGGTATGTTTTTGCAGATCGAGATGGTGATGGGTTCACAGCGATTGTGGTGCGGCAATCCATCCAGTTCGGTTCCCGAACTGGGCATCAAGCCGCCGCCACTGCGATAATAGGGACTGGCGTCCAGGGGACTTTGATCGTACCGCTGGACACCTTGTATCAAGGTGGGTAAAATAAACAGGATCTGCCGCCACATTTTTCAATTTTCCGTTACCGGTACCGGTCTTTTCCTTGTCAAATAACTTTTCGGGTACTTGTTTCGATTTATTTAGCCACGTTTAAAACACACACATGTTGCTTTACTTCTTGCACTCACTTTTGCAACGTAGAATTTGTATTCTGTTTGAAAACTTCACTCCCACGAAACACTTAACACCTTTTAAACATTTGCCGCCGGCAAATATTTAGTTTGGCCTAATAAGCAAATAATAAATATTTCTCTCTATCTTATTTGCGTTGCCTTTGCTATATATTTTGTTTGGACTTTTCTTGTTTACAAATTATTATTTTTCAAACGAGTTTGCTTTGGCTTTTGTATATGTTATTGGCAAAGTATTATTTTCTGAAATTATATTTTTTTTGGGGGTCTTAAGACCTTACTTGCATTTGCTTTTTGATGTTGTGCGGCTTTTTTTGGGCAAATTACCGTATTTGCCTGGGCCTTACTTCTCCGATTGCCAAATTTTTATTTTTGTTACATTTACCGTAAGTATCCTACTACTTTTGCCTCACCCACTTTAATTATTAGCCTTTCTTCTTTTCACTTTTTCGAAAAACGCGCAAAGATAACCGCACACCGGGAATCGGACTCGAAAGTTACTTCTTCTGCACGGAGATTACGCCAAAAATCGAAAACGGAGCCGGAGTTCAAGAAACAATCCGCGGGCACAACCGCATGGCAGGGCACTCGCTGACAAACTGAGCAACTGAGCAACTGTGGAACTGTGGAAATGAAAAACTGACATTGCACACTGGGCCAGCGCACCAGAAATTTGCCAAAAAGTCAGTGTTTTGTTGTTTTTTTTGTTTAATCATAATAATTTATTTATCTTGAAATCGAGGCAATCAAAAAGGAATTTTGCATGCACTTTTGCTTGGTATATAGGGTATTAGGCACTTGCACGAAAAATCAAAATTTTTGGCCCACTGTGCGTTGGTCGCAACAAAAGCGGGACCAAACACACTGGTCTTCCGAAGCCGCTCTCTCGCTCGCCCGCTCCCACGCTGAATATGCGCTCTCTCGCTCCGTGGGTCTATTCAGCTATATAAAGTATACGTCGGACCGGGGGGCGACCTTGAATTTGACACTCTTGGTGGGAGGAAAAGAGAAAAAGAAAGAGCTGGAGAGAGCGTAGTGAAAGACAGGGTTGTTATGCCATTTGTTTGGATGCTGTCCCGCTCGCTCTTTGACTTTTCTCAGTTTCTTGGCCTCCTGTTGATTAGCCGACAAAAAAATAAACATCAACAAACGACAAAATGTGGTTAATTAGAATTTAAAATGATAATGCTTTTGATAGGACTAATAGAAAATCAAAGTCCGGAAGCAATGCCTTAATTTGGGTGTAACCTTAGCCGAATAATAGACTGTTCCTATGGAATATCTTGGGCTATCAATAAACTTAGTTAATGTTATCTGTGCAAGTAAAATATAAACAAATTTCCAGGGTAACAGCATTTTTTGGGTTTTCTAAGCCAGGTTCCCACAGCACCTATAGTACCGAAATTGGTGGTCCATTCTAACGGTATAGCCACACAATTTGTTTTTCTTAAACTATAAATAACGCTTATTTCAAATTTTAAAATAATTAAAAAAAAAACTAAAATCAGGTAACATTGTTTTATAATGAAACATTAGTATATTTACTTATAATCTAGATCAATCATTACTATAAACACATTTAAGATTGTGTAAAATTAAAGATTTAAAATATGATTAGATTCAAAATTAGCAATAAATTTTAAAACGTCATATTTTGATGATGGTAAGATCATCGCACCCTTTTGTCTTTTTTATCAATCCATCGATGTCCGTTATATTTCCCATTGTTCTGCCGCTTGGGGTTTTCGTCGGCTGTTGCAAGTGCCGTTAGAAGACATTAGCCCTGGAATAAACCAGTGATTACTCTTTTCCAACTCTGCTTCGCCTAGGAATACATATTTGCACGCGTTAATTTCCTTGATTTTCTGCGACAATTTTTATCGCCGACCATTTCTCTGCGCACTTGCATCTATCATTTATCTTTATCTATGTTTTTTTGTCGCTTGTATTATTTGCTTGGTTTTTGCTCGACAGTTAATTAAGTCATTAACTTGCGTTTAATCTGCGCTTTAGCATGAGTTAAGAGAACTTATGCCTGGCATTTCTCTAATGACCCCTTGGAGGGTCGAAAAAGGGGAGCTGCGGGGAATTAGGCATCTGCTGCCAGTCAATAAACTTGTTATATTGACAATAATGATGACATTAGAGGGGTTCAGTCTTTTGTCCTTGTCACCTGTAGAACCCTTTTATCCGATCAGGCTCTCTCTTTCCTCCTCTAGTTAACACACATGGCTCTCTCGACAGCATACTGGCTCTCTCGCAATCTCCTCCCGTCACTCTCTTTGACAAACAAGTGTTACCGGTTATGCCGGCAATGTTCATTTGATTCTGTGCTCTTTTTCTCTGCTCTCTTCTTGGCTCCATCACCTTATGCTCAACCCCACCGCCCTCTACCCACCACCATCTCCCCTCTTGTTGCTTATTCCTTGCTTCTACACTTCGTCGGCTTGTTTAATAAAAAGCGCCAAAGTTGCGCCGCATAAAAAAGGCTCTTTCTTCTCCATCTCTCATTTCTCCTCTGCCTTCGCTTATACACTCAAAGAAAGTGCAGATAGAATTATATAAATATTTAGTTTAATGGCTTCCAAAACTAGACCTACACTCGTAAGCAATTATATTTATTTATGACAAAAAATCAGATAGTCAAAATAAACATCTGACCATTACATTATAAATTATACATTCAATATTAAAATTAAATAAGTTACATGATTTTATATAATAATATTTAAATGGATATGGAAAATATTAGATTTATAACAGTTTATACTTGATTCAAATGCATTTTACTTCTGTTAAATATGGCTTAAATTTAATTTTAATTTTAGATGTTAAACAAAAGTCTAAAATAGTTAAAAGAAAAATTAAAATTTTCAAAACTGATGACAATCAAAGCGTAAATATAATACTAAAAAAATAGTTTAATAAATGCAGTTACTTAAACCTTAATTATGAGAATTAAGATTATTAAGCTATTGAAACAGGAAAATTTTCTACAAGTATGGAAGTGAATTAAATAAAATAGTTCGACTCGACAAAGAAAATTGATTTAAAAAATAAGTGTCTGAGAATAACGATACTCTTTGGGAATAAATTGTATGTTTTTTAGTTAAATTATTTTAAAATAAAGTTTCGTAGATTTCGGTATGACATTTTTTCCAGTGCATGTCTTGGCTTCTGGCTCTATTGTTGTTGTTCAGTCGGTTTCCGTTTGCCGCTTGTTGTTGGTATTACTGCTGTTTTGCAGTTGCCGCTCATTTTATGTTTACAAGTGAACGAACTTTGACGCTTTGCGTTCTCCATCCCTCTCTGCAGGTGTTTCTTTCTCGCTCACACTCCTTTGTTAGAAAGTGATTTAGCTGTGTTGTTGTTTTTCTACAGTGTCTGTTTTCGGAATATGTAATTTAATGTAATTAAAATGGAATAAAGGAGAAAAATATCACCCAGAATGCAGATTAACTTCATTAGATAAGCGAAAGTAAAATTGAATTAGCTCCCTCCTCTTTCTCACCTATTCTTCTTCATGTTTTAGGAACCAATAATTGTTTTTAATGACAGTTATAAAGGGTTCGAGAAACACACAGTAAATAAAGCTATCCAACTGGAAAAATTAATAATTAAATTAAATTTTAGCATCGGATAATATAACGAACATATTTTAAGTGTTGTTGTTTTTCTTCTATATCTGTTTTTGGAATATGTAATTTAATGTAATTAAAATGGAATGAAGAAGAAAATTATTATTTTCAGCCTGCAAAATCGTATGGAAATTGACAGTTCAGCTTACCATGAAAACCAGAAAACGAACCTATAAATTTTATGCTAATATTCACCATATTTTTATGATCATTGAACAAATTAGTTATTCCCAATTTAAAATGTAAAACATTTTACAACAAGTTATTAAATTGTTTACAATTTTAAAAAATTAAAGCATATTAGAATAATTAAGTATGTAAGCTACTCAGTGAAACAAAAAACAAACGTTTAAATGATTACATAAAAGTAATTATTTATATAAATTATATAAAAATGGATATGAATTATCAAAATGTAATTTCATTAAATGTCAAAACACAATCAAAAACAAAACAACAACAATTATTCTACCAAAGACCTAATATTTATGAATGCGATCCCAACAAGAATTTTAATGCTTTATTGTGGTTAATTTGGGATTCGAACAGGATTTTTCCTTGCTGATTTCCCTCTCCAATTAGACTGATTAGAGTGGTTCTTGTTTCCCTTTCCAACGTAATTCCTGAATCCTGTGATTATAGAGACTTCTGCCCCATCGAAAAAGGGAACCCAACTCATTTGTAGCCAACAAAATACAAGGGATAAACAAATCAATCCGCACAAGTTCATTCATGTCTCGCATGGCAAGCCAAAAAATAAACAACCCCCCGGACCCACATGTGTGCTAATGCAAAAGGGACTTTGCCCTAAGCCATAAAAAGGGTTTTCAGTTACTTTCATAGAAAAATACAAGTATTTACTTTTCGTTTGACCCTCCAAGAACAACCACCCCCTCCAAGTTGAGTGGGCGTCTCAAGTCACATTAGTGGAAACCCCACTCTTAACCCCAGAAAGGTCACGTGGCTGCCAAAAACTTTCGCCAGGAGTCACACACAAAAACCAAAGTGAAATGTCAACTTTTAACAGAAATCTCAAAAAGTGAAGGAAAGTACATGTTTTCCTAATGTACCTACATAAAAAGATTAATCTATAAGAACACGTTCCTAAGCAACATCAATTTTCAAGAAGATTTTGTCTTACTTGGAGTAAAAACTTTTAAAGTACTTCAAATTTTACTCATGTTTAAAATGACAGGTTGCTGCTTCAATATTAATTTAGATCCTTTTTACTCTTTGTTGAAGTTGGCCAAAAATCTCAGAAAAAGCTTTAAATTTTTAAAGTGACATTTTCAAAAAGTGGAAACATAATTTTGAAACAGATATTTTTTTCTCTTTTTATATTTGCCATTCTAGACATTTAAATTTAATGTACCAACGTTTAAAACTTGTTCTCATCACTGACCTCTAACGACCCAAGCCACGCAGTTCTCAACCCATTTTGGGAGCTCACTTCCCTCTAATTAGATGTAAGAGCTCTTGGAAAAGCCCCTCAAGTGTAACTCTTGATTAAAAGTTTACAGTGTTTGGTTTGGTTTTTCGACTCGAATTTTTACAGATCATTTGTTTGCCATTTGGGCAATCACAAAGGCCAGCAGCGAAATTCATCAAGCAGCCCACTTTTTTTTTTGCCTTTTCCAAGTCCCTGCAGACTGTTCTCATAAATAAAACAGTTATTTACTTAAAAACAGCCAACGGCCGAAAGCTCAATTAAATTTTTTTGAAAAACTGCCAGCGTAGTCCGCGCTGGGAAAAAAAACATTAGCGGGCCGAAGGCGGGTTTGCTATTGGAACTGGACATTGGTCAAGCATCGTTTGCTGCTATCAATCAAAGGGAAAAACGGAATCTCATTAAGTCCGTCGGTTGCGTTCAATGCCCCACCAACTGTTGCATGATACGGTTGGATTTTTACCAGCATAAAATTTCAAATGAAGTTGTATAATTTGTAATGC